GAATCTTTGTTTATTATATGTAAAAATAAAAAATATATAATATTAATAACTTTTTATAAGTAGAGCTAACTAAAAGATCCAAATTGAAATTACAACATTTAGATCTTAATCTAGTTAAAACTATAAGTGAAACTTTTTATGCAAATATTCTAAATTTTTTTTGGTGCAAAAAAGAAAGAAATATATGTTGAGCAAACTTCCAATAAAAATTATGAAAATAAATTTAAAAAAATACATCTAATTTTGGATATAGTTTTTTTAGCTATTCAGTTTATTTGTTTTTTACAAAGCTCACGTTTTTAAATCAAAACTATCTGTGGGACACAAAAAATAATGTATTCATAATTATCTAAACACTTTTAATTAAATTTTTTTAACGTTTTCTCAATTAATAATATTTTTAACAGTCATAAATTTGTTCTTTCATTTTAAAATTTTGTATTCTTATACTTACTGACTATGTTCTTATTGTCAAACAATAACATTTTCATTTTAATCTTTTTTGAAATCTGACAATATAGAAACAACATATACAATTGCATTATAAAAATTAAAACACATTAAGCTCATGAAAAGTTTTTCAAATGATTAAATAATTACAATCCCTTATTCGGCAGTCATTTTCCTAAAGTAATTATTTCGGTAATTATGCATTGAAAAAAATTGCTATAAAAGTAAGTTATTATATAGTTTGTACAAATAAATTTTGTTTTTGCGCCTAATTTATTGAAGAAAGCTGGGGGGACTGTAATTACACTCAATAAAGTAACACATGGAGTTTTTAAGATTAAGTAAAACTTATATACTATAAAAGCTTATTTGCCACTGCAATTAAACTTTAATATTCTTACAAGAAAAATGCTCTTTATAACTCGGGAATTTTATTTTATTCATCTAAAGCCACCAATTGAGTTTTATTGCCACTTTATGTATTAGGGATAGTTTATACACCAATATTGGGGATATATTCAAAATTATGTGTAGAACAAAATACTCAAATTAATCTATGAATATGAATCATGCAAACTTAAATCAATTGGAAATTCATACTAAATCAGATTAGATGTGCATTCATCTATAGATTTCTTGATTAATGTAATAAATTACTTAAAAGTTCAGAATTCCATTTTGGGGACAAAGGAACAGTCATGATATCTCATTTGCATTATTTTCTTAAAAATATAATTTAAATACAAAGTGTAATTGGTGCATATTTTTTTTTACTCATTCAGAATTTTTAATCACAGTTTAACATGAAATAATAATAATTAAAAAAATAAGACAAATAAAAAAGAATGCTTTAGCATGGACAAGTAAAAGAAAAGAATTGAGAAAAATGACTCTTTTAATTTTTGACATGTATGAATTTGGTCTGCTCATTATAAAGCATCAATATAAACAAGATTTAACCCTTCTACTAAGTTTTTTGCAGTTCTTTAAAATTTGTTTATTTTGTTAATAATAATAGAATATTTTTTTGTAAAAAAATTTTTCTATCACTTTAATAAGCTTCCATTACTTTTCATTATTATTAAGCAAGCTACCTTTTTTCAATAAGTCAATATAACATTTTCATGAAATAGTAATGTAATACATTTAATTAATTGTGTTAAGCAAGGTCAAATACAGGGAAACTTTAAATACTAGTTAAAGTAGTACAAATATCAAACAATCCTTTATTCTACTGCCTCAAAGTCAATTTGAATATTTATTCATTCAGTGTGATCATAATTATTGATAAGCTTGCTAGGGGTTAAATCTTTATTTAAAAAATTGTAATGAAATCTAAAGAATTAAAATATAATTTGTCTCCTGAAATTTTAAGTAATACTCTGTGGGTACCTGAAAAATGAGCAAAATAAATATTTTTTATATACACACGTATTTTCTTTGTATAAACATACTTTTCTTTGTTGATGGTTTCGAATTTCAATCCACCAGAATATAGGATCTAACGGTATTGTGGAAAATATATTCCGGATAGCCTTGTCAAGAGACACATCCAAAGTTTGAACCCCTTACTGTTAATTTTACCTTTTGCCTATTTCACCATCAGTCTGAGAACTTTTTTAGCAAATTGAAAAGTTTTTGCTTATAATTATTAAAAAATTTTTTTTTAAAGATTCTATGCAAAATACAACTTTTAGCATTTATTACTTTTTTTTATTTAATAGTAATAGTCAAAAAACTATTGGACTGTAAGGTATATAAGTTTTTAAATCATTTTAAAGAATGCAGTTGTATATTTCTAAATGCAAAATTTTAGCAAAATTGCTCGATTAATTTTTGAGAAAGATATATTTTTAAAATTTAATTTCTCTAGAAATTATTCGATTAATTTTGCTAAAAAATTTTTATTTCTCCAGGCAAAAATACAGTCTTTAAAATAATGTTAAAATTGTATACTGCACAATTCAAGTTTTTTTTGCTACGAAATAAAATAATAAAAAATAGTAAGTACTCACTAAAAATATTTTTTGCATGGAATTATCTTTGGCTAAACTAAGTTAATAATTATAAGTAAAATTCTTTAATTCGTTTAAACATTTTTCGAGATATGGCAAAATACGCTAAAAGTAAAATTAACGCTAAAGGGTTCAAACTATTGAGACCATATTTCCCAAACTGCTGCTACACCTGTTTTTTCAGTGTCAGAAATTCAAATCCTTCAAAAAGTTTATTCAGAGAAAGTTTGATTTTGTAATTTTAAATGTCGTCTGTACTAATTGATCAGCAATATTTGATGTCATCCCCTCAAACAGGTGCGGATGAAGCATATGCGGGGCCCTAGGCCATTCAAATTTTTGCGAAATATGTAAGAAATGAAAATAACATAAAGGGCAGCAACTTTTAACCACTCTCTCACTTTTTCCTCTTTGATAATTTAAAATTATGTACATTTATTTACCATGAAATTAAAATAATTATCGACATATAATTAGATAAATAAATAAAGGCTATTAAATTCTTTATTTTTTTTTCATGGGATTCGTTTGGATAAAGTAAATTTAAATTTATGTTCAAAAAATTTTCTGTTATTTTTAAAAAATCCGTGAGCTTGTGCCAAATATGTATTTGTGCGAAAGACACTTTTTCAAACGCTTACCTAACTAAACTATGAGGACCATATTTTTGGAATTTTGTGCTACTCCCATATTTTGGTAGTCAAAAATCCAAATAAAAAAAAATCTCATAAATAAAGAGAGCGAATACTTAATATAGTATTGTGTTTAATTTATATTTTTCTTACTTCACAAATGATTTAGCCTCTCTGCGTTTGTTAGAAATTCTAATAAGAAATAAAACTTTTTACAGGGGCTAGAATAACCTGACTTGCCATGCTGAACAGTTTCCCTTTCTCCGCCAAACTGTCTCAATGTCAAAAGGATGGTGCACGTTCAGTGCCTTCTAGAATATGAGATTTAGAACCCTATCTATATGTAGGCAAATACAATAAGAAACATTAAAGCGTTGATTTTTGTAGTTTTAAAAGCTATATTGATTTATCTCTTTCATCTAATTTAAAATATAATCAATGCTTATGTCGTAACATTTTTAAATGGGAAATTGAGGTATTATCCAATAAATTACTTTTGTACAAAAGTGTTAAGAAACACATTCACTGTTTAAGATAATTGTATCAAGAGTTTTGTATCAAGAAACCCTACTATAAACTTATTTGATTAATACGATGACTGCCGCATCACCCGTATTCAGGTAACAGCATAGTTTCTGATCAGACCACGTCACCCGTATTGGGGTGATGCTTATTTAACTCTTTGTGAAGGATATTCGTATGTATTTGAAAAGATATTTCACAGGACGTAACAAAACTATTGAATTTTTATAAAAGTAGTACAAAAGTGATTTATTAAGAAAATTATTGTGAACCTCATGAAAGCGTGCTTGTTCACTTTGATTTGACTTGCTAAGAAATAAGTTTTCCATTTTCTTTTCGAAAGTTTAACTAGTTAGAGTAAAGATTTTAAGTTATACTCATCGTTGATCCAAACTGATCGTGTGAAGTGGCGACATAAGAAGCAACTGACACAAATAAACAGACATGATACCATGGCAACAAACGGAGCGGTGTATTATCCTTGAGATTCCCAGAGACTCACATTATTGAAATATTATTGGAAGTACTTAGCAGAATATGCTTCGTACCACGGTACTCACGGCGTGAAGGCGATTTCACTGTAAATGCGTGTGGCAGTCTACGTGTTAAGGAAGTCTTGAACTCTGTTACAAATTTTAATTAAACATTGATATGAGGAAATGTTAACTGATTGATACTGATTATTTCAATGTAAGAGCACTGTAAAATTTTATATGTATTGATCTCTAACTTTTATGAATTCTTCAGTACTCCATTAATGGAATTATAGTGGATACTGTTAAACTATCTGACTAAACAAAGTTTTGAAACTAAAAATAGTATATTTTGTAATTCTTTTACAAAAAAAATTCACTTTTTATGTACTTAAGTAAAGCAAAATTTGTCTTTTTTTTTTTCTTTTTAAAAATAGTTTGGTATATAAATACTTTACAAAAGAAATGTTCTAAATTTTTTTCTTTGGCTGTAACAAAGACAGAACAACTGTTAGTTTACGATTTGTGTATTCTTATCCTGCACTCTTTATGCTAATTATGAAAATGGTTCAAAATGTCAATACGGAGAAGAGTCACAGTTAATGGAAATATAAAGCATTTGTAATCTAATTTTTTAATATTTGAAAAATTACTATAAGATTGCATTATCTAAGTTTGCAGAACTTTGCAAAATTTAAGAATTATTCTTTGATTTTTTATAATTTTCTTGTAGGTAGAAAAATCTGGCCAAATTAAAGGCTTTTTTAAAAAAAGTTTAAGATTCTTTTTTTTTTCTTTTTGAATATTTAAACTTTTTTTTGTAAAACATTGACATTTCTTTACAGCAAGATAATCTCTCTCTCTCTTTATAAATATATATACACACAGTGCCCAAAATAAGAAACGAATCACCCTGAATAATTTTTGATTTGATGATCAGATCTTCACAATCTAGGGGTTAATCTTAATGGTTCAAAAAAGTGATCTCAATTATGCCAATTAATTTGTGCAAATGATGTTTAAAATTATTAAATTAGACACAAAAATGTACTTTCTCTAAATAAACATATCTTTTTCGATGGATTAAAATTTCTGTCCTCCAAAATTATAGGGGGTAACTACAATATGGGAAATATGGTCCCACTAGTTTGTCGGGAGAGCGCCCTAAAGTTTTGACCCCTTAATATTTCACCTTTTGCTTAATTCGCCATATCTGGAGAAAGTTTTAAGCAAAAAAGAAAAAAAATTGCTCACAATTATGAAGTTCGTTTAGCCGTAGATAAATCTGTGCAAACAATAATATTTAGTGAGTATTTATTAATTTTCACTATTTTATTTAATAATAATCGAAAAAAAATTTAACATTAAGACATACAATTTTTTATATTCTTTTTAAGAATGAATTTTTGAATTGCAAATTGCAACATTTGAGCAAAATTGGTCAAATTGCTCCTGAGAAATCGAATTTTAAAAATACAAAATTTTCAAAAGATGATTTCTCAGAAAACATTTGACCGATTTCACTCTAATTGCATAGTTTGCCTTTTAAAATAATGCAAATAACTGTATGCCTTACAATTCATAAGTTTTTTTACTATAATATGAAATAATAAAAAGTACTAAATACTCACTAAAATTTATTTTTTGCATGGAATTATCTGTGTCTAAACGGATTTTGTAATTGCATCCAAGAATTTTTTAATTTGCACAACAATTTCTGTTCCTATGGGAAAATACACAAAATGTAAAATTAACATTAAGGGTCCAAACTTTAATGACCATATTTCGCAGATAGCGAGAAATATTCCCCTTCATTTTGGGGGGAAGTAATTCAAATTCGTCCTGTTATGATGTATTATTGTAATTGTTGCTTAACCTGATGGTATTTCTTGATTTTACACACTAAGTAACAAAAATATATCGGACCTGGTTTTATATATTTACTTATATATTATATTCAAAACTTATATTTAATTAGTCTGAACAATTTCAGGAAGATTTGTTCCTGACACTGCTGCACCTACTCAATCACTTACAGCTAGAGAATGGCTGAATGGAAAAAACAGAAATCCTATTCTGATATCTATGAAGGTAAATTAATAATCATATGTTTTGTTGTAACTCTAGATAAAGAAAAATTTAAAATGCATAGTTGCCAGCTTTCATGAAAAGATTGGAAAATTACATTTTTTTTCTTCATTTTTTCAATTTTTTTAAAAAATATTACTACAAATACTACTATGTTATATTTTTATTCTGTTGAGTTTTAGTAAATGTTTTAACTGTGATTTTTTATTTAATCAAGCATTTGGATACATTTTTGAAGCAACAGATTAAAAATTCCACTTTATTAGACTAAGTAATTTTTTTTTGTTTCTTCTTATATCTAAGAGAAAATTGTCTGTGTCTATGCTGTGTATATGAAATCTTAGTGCTGTTAGAATTTTAATATTGTCGGAATTTTGGATTACTTTGAAATAGCAAAGAAAAGCCCCTAGCTACTTCAAAATGTTTGTTTTTATGTCATATATTGTGCCGTATGAAAAATCTTTTTTTTTTTTTTTTTGTAATTTTGTAAGAAAAAAACATGATAAAACCTGCAAAAGTGAACTCCTTGAATTATGCTTATATACAGGTATTTTGTGTGAGAAAATATAAATTGATTTTTCAAAACGCAAGAAACATTTTTAACTAATCTATAAATCATAATCTCTATATATCTTCAGTTTCATTGAAGATATTTAGAGGTAACACTATTGACAAAAAAAATATCTAGATTCATAATTGTAAATATTTTGCAATTTCAAAAATTCAAAATGTATTTTTAAAATGTTTCAAAGTACTCAGTAACTTTTTCAATGATTATATGATAAAACAAAGAAAACTAATGAACTTTTCTGGAACACAATTAATTAACTTTAAAAAGAAACATCTATGTAAATAGCATGTGGATTTCTCTCTGTTTATTAGTTATGGATTAAAAGCATTTGTAATGAAATATTCTTGCTGCATTTTGTGTTTTTTTAAGTCATAAAATTGATACATTATTTAAAAAGTTGTGCTATTTTTAAAAATATATATATATATATTTATCGGAAATAATTATTAATGAAAAAAAAATGGTATAAACATGATAAGATATGTACTAAAAAAGTAGTATTATCTAGTAACATATTTTTAAATTAATGAAAGTTATAAAAAAAATTAATTATGTATATAATAAGCTCATTCAGTTTTATTTTATCCATAACAATGTTGATACATTTAAAATAATAAGTTAATTGTGTGATTAGTTGAATTGCCTCAGAACCAGTTGTCCTAGAGTTTCTGATTCTAAGTGAGCTTTAATAGTGTCAAACTTTTCCAGTTTTACTTTCTAGACGATAATCTCCATTTCATTCCTGTTAGTCATTTAAAAATTATGTGTAGTATATATAATATGAAGTGGACTGTTTCGTTTTGATTATACATTTATTTGGTAAAGATTAATAAAATAAATAAACTATATACATGAAGAAAATTATAGAGGCTGCTGCAATCGCAGTAAACAGTGAAAAACAGTTCATGTAACAGTAAACAGTTTATGAAAGAAAAAAGTTGAACTTGAATGATCCTTAATTCTCTCACAGCGATGCAAAGTGGGGGCGGGGGCAATGATAAGGGTAAAAGACGTAAGCATACATTTTTGATATCTGACATGTTAGGGGAAAAGTCCCAAAATTCTTAATTAACTGTCTATCTTTTTTCTGTAGAATTATCTATTTTAGTCAGCCTTTGCTCTGCAACACTTCAGGTAGACAGCTTTGTGCTATTTATGTCGTTGTTATAATTATTTCTTTCTTCAATAAATTTGTTAAGTTAATCATTGTCTTTTTTTTTCCTCCTTTGCTCTACAAATCAAGGCCTCCACGTTTTCATTTCTATAATTGTGACCATAACATGTGAATGAAAAACTTAGAAATAATTTTGTTTTGTTTTTAAATTGAATTTTTTTAATGTTAGGAAATATTATAGACTGGAGCTGGAGCCAGAACCAATAATTTGGTGGTTTATGGCCCGGATCGTCAGTACTTAGTAACTGCTGACAGAAACAATAAGAGAAGTTTAGAAGATAACATTTCAGAAGGTAACAACGTTGATAACCGAGATCTGACGAAAAAGGGCAATGAAGATGCTCATCATAGCAAGTAAAAAAAATGAACCTAGAAATATTCTAATTTATTTCCTATTATTCCTAAACAGTTTCTATATGGGTTTATTTCATGAACTTTTCATTTTGCTCTTACTAACATATTTTATCCATTACTAAATTGTCCATTATTTTACCCATTAGTATCATTAAATACAACTCCTTCAACTAGAAACTTTTTTAACTACTGTTACATTCTGATACCTTCTGTTTTCATTGATTACAAAGGAATATAAATAAAATGAATTTTTATAATCAGAGTTAATTAAAGTTGGATAAAAAAATTTCTTTTTATATACCTTAAGAAAATACTATTATTTTAAGGAAAATTATGTAGAGCTAGTTTTTTTCTTTTTTTAATAATGTTATGCTAAATTATTTTTGGAATTGATACTGATTTATTATAGGAAATTCATTTAGCTTATTACCTAAAATTTATTTGATTACATTGTTTAAATTTTATTATTTTCGGAGTTTTACTTAATGTAAAGAATTGATCATAAACTTGAACTTCTGTGAGTGTAAATAACTAAATTAAAAAATTCTGTGTTTATCTCTACAAATAAATTTCATGAGTAATTATCTAATGAATGAATGCATAACATGCAAGGGAAAATAGCTCCTCAGTATGAGGCTCTTTTTTTTCTCTCCTTATGCTAACCTTTACTGTTACCCTCATTTAAACAAAACTTGTTATTTTGTATATTATTTTTATTTTTTTGTCTTGTTGTATTTTTTGAAGTTTTTTGTATGTGGTTGCATAAATCTTAAACAAATAGGGAAAATAGCTTCTGAAAGGCATTTAAAAGTAAACAATTTTTTTAAGTAATATATATATATATANTTCATTATATATATACAGGGTTATTCATAATTCCCTCCGCCTGTAAACGCCATTTTTCTTTACTACAACTGGCTTCAGTGGTGCATGTTACTGCCATCTACCAGCAACTGCTTAAATTAAAACTTGACTACTTTCGGAATAATTTCATATGTTCTTTTTTGCCATATTCGTCTCCGTTTTTTTACTATAACACTTCGAAACCCCAGAAGGAATTATGAATAACCCTGTATATTACTAACATATATTTGTAAATAAAACTTTTTTCAAAATAATTGAATGCTGGACATTTTTAACTCCTTATAAATGTATATTTGTACTCTTAAAATCACTAATTGTCACAGTAGCAGATTTATATTAATATGTTAGCTCGTTAAAGCTTTTAACTGTATTCATAATTCCATATTTTTAAAAAAAATGGTTTCTGATATGGAATTTACTCAAAAGTTTGAAAAATATCTGTTATAAAGAATGATTACAATTGAAATGTTTTACATCTTTATCAAAATAATTGAATATATACATCCCACTCTACCTATACATAATAAAAACTGAATTAATAATTTTAGTGATTCAAATAATTTGAGTACAAAATAAATGAATTCTGCATGAGATATGCCATATTTTTTAAACTAACTTAAGTATCTAATATTTCAGATATCTTTTATGTATTTTTGCATAAATATCTTTCTTGAATATAATAGAAATCTTCAACAATACAGATTCTTTTATGTTTTTTTTTTAAATTATTATATTTTTTTATAATATATATTATGTGTATATTTGATAAATTATTAAACCCAAAGCAATTTAAATAATTATTATTTTGTTTGGCAAATAAGCTTGCTATAAGCAAATCAGTAATCACAATATTGTAATTTTCTGTGTATGAAGCTTATATTTAACATTCCAATAAAATATTGAAATTTCCCGAATTTTAATATTTACATTCAAAAGTGTATAGATGTCAAATTCAAAGTTTTTTTTAAAAAAAAGTTTCTGTGGGTGAAAATATTTCTTAAAATAATATAAATCAAATATTTATTTACAAGTATGAGATATAAATTATTATTTTTTTGTAAAAATTATCAAGAGAAGAAGAACTTACTATAATGCAATTTGATTATAGGAGAAAATGTTGTATACTGTTTTATTTTTCACTTTTCAAATACTGATATTCAATATCAGTGTTCCATATTCAAAAAATACTTTGTTTCTGATATGGAATTTACTTAAAAGTTTGCAAAGCAAAAGGATTTATCTTTTAGGATTCTCCAGTTCAAGCAACAGATATATTAAAGTATTTTGATTTGATATAAGTCTAGAAAAGTTAGTCATTGTAAGAGTGAGAAATTTTAAAATGTACTATGAATCCTCGGATTTCTCATTTATCATGAGATCATTCTTTAATAGATATGGGAAAATAATGAATGCGAGTCAACATAAAAGACTCTAAATAGTCTTTAATTAAATAAATTTACTATAAATATAAAAAATTGAAATTTAAAAATTATATGCTTCAAAATTATTTACAATGCAAAAAAATTATAAATACATTTATTTATTTAAAATATTCGACAGTAACAAATTACTGTCAATTTTCCGTAAGTTTTTTGCCTCATTGTTTCAAAGGGTTTAAGGTCTTCCAGAATTCCAACAGTCTTTAAAAGTCCTTAAAAACTGCTTATTTTTTATTTTGAAAAGTAAGGGCCCTTAAAAGTACTTAATTTTGGTGCAAGGTTTTTAAAAGTCCCTAATTTTTTCAGCATCACTATAGTTGATAGAAACAATTTTTCAGTTCAATTTTTTCAAAATGTTGTTCTTTAGATCGTCACTTAGAATTAGACCTTGCATCCAGGATAAAACATTTATGAGACCAATATTAATGTGTTTGGGGGGGGGGCTACAAGCAAAGGAAAAGAAAGCATGTCCTTACATTAATATATTGGTTCTTTCATTAATATATTCTGCCCTTTGCCTAGAATAATACTCTATGAGGAGAGTGACACATTCTAAAAGAAAAGAATAGTGTGGACAAGGGGGATAGTGTACATGGATGAGATAGGGCTTTTTTGGGGGGGGCAGTTTTAAGGTACCTGAATAGAAGACCCACACTTCAAAATTGACAGAATTTAAGAAATTCAGTTATATTGTTAACGCATATGCTTATAGGAATTAAATAAAATGCTATGAACAGAAGCATCAGAAAATATTTTTGAACTAGAATCCATAACAAAAACTATTTCCTAAAATCTTGAAGAATTAAATAAATTTGTATAATTTTTCAATATGTATTATCTGTAAATTTATAGAAGGCAGTAAAATTTTTTTAAAATTCATGATTGTACTGAAAATTAAACCAATCTGTAATAAACAGGGTTTAAAGAATCCCAACCCACCTAGGTTTTTCATCAAAATCCTGGTTAATTGGCTTTTTAATGAAAACCTAAAGTTTTTTCAAAAATACTTTTAAGTATTTTTTTCCTGAGTACCAAGTAAAAAAGCATGATTTGCATCTAACAAGAAAGTTAAATATTTGGTTACTACATATAATTTGTTTTGTTGCAACTTATTTTTTTTTTTTTTTTAGATTTTTATGCTATTATTTTTATTTCTTAAGAATAAGCAGATTGTTACGTAAAATTTTAGATCTCCTCATTTAAAAGATTCTTAGATTTTAATAATCATTTTATTCTGCTAACATTCCAATTTAATATACTGTTTTTAATTTTTATTCAATTTTTGTTTGCTTTAAAATTAGTTCATGTTTTTTGCCGGATTATTTAGTAACATTATGTAAAGTTAAATTCTAATAACAGGTTTTGCTGAAAATAATTTTGTCTAAAATTCATCATAAAAGTAAATATAACACATTTGCTGTTTACTAATAATTTTGAAATTGTTAATATATACCCTTTTCAATATGTTTTTCATAAAATTTTTCAATATTTTTTACCTGATAAAGTGATACTGCAAGATTTTTTTATAAAAAAAGAATACCCCTTTCAGTTTTAAACTGAATAAAATATCAAATCATAATAATAATAGAGGATAATATTAAGAATGATAGAGGGTGATAAAGAAATATTACTAGTAAAAATCTATACATGATGTAAAAATAATTTATCACTATTTTTTAATTAAGGAACCTTATCACTTTTCTGGCCATAGGAATGTGTTTGAACTTTTGAAAAATCATTTTTGACTCTTTTATTTATTTGTTTCACCTAGAACTAATAGAAAACATATTGGTTTGAAAATTATACTTTTTCTCAAACATAATTGTATTTTTATTCCATAGAAATTTTCATAAAAATATTTATTGCAATGAATTTAAAACAATATGTTAAGTTAAGCTTAATGAAAAAATAGTGGAATGTTTTAATGTATTTAGATATTAGTATGACCTGTTTTTACTTGAAATACGACTTAGTTTAACATGGCTTTTAGAAAACTATTCTCATGAGTAACTCTAGTTCAACTTTTTAGTATTTATTCTTTTAATATTTACTCTTATAAATGAAACATTTTATTAATAGAAAAGGAACAATTTTTTTGGTGTAACTGAATATTTAGCAAGATTGGCTCACAACTGAAGGTCTAGTAGCAAAATATAAGAACTTGTAATAATTTTTTCAATGTTTTTGCCAAATTTCTTTATTTAGTCTTTTTTCTAATATAAAATTGCAAATCTTAATTTCTGCACTTAGTTTTACAATTCAATTTTAATAAAATGATTAAAAGTGGAATATACAGATTAGTTTCATAGATGATGTTAACCTTTGACAACCTGAAAATTTAAAAAAAAAAATGATCCAGGTTTGCGAAAATTGCCTGGTACTTCTTTGGCATGCCCTGTTAATTAATGTAGGTAATTATATCAGTGCTTACATTATAATAAAACTATTTTTTATTATTTATTTCTATTTTTTGATTTTTTTTTAAGAAAGGTAAATAATTGGTTCTGTCACTGGTGATATATGTATTTTCAATGATAGACAATCATTCTCTTTTTAAAGTCCTTAATTTTTACAAAAAAAAGTCCTTAAAAGTGCTTAATTTTATCTTTGTCAAAAGAGTGGGAGTCCTGTCTTCCATTAGAGTTTGCACTGATTGTGATTCCATTTTGCAGTCTTTGTATTTCTTCTGCTTTTGCATTTATTTTTTAAAACTGCAGCAACAAAAGTTTCAACCTTTTCGTCTGCTTATAAATAAACATCAAACGTGATATTTGAGCCAAACAGTAACAAATCCTCATTTTGCACCAGGAGTTAATTGTTTCTATTCTTAAATCCAAATAACTTTATTTATTTTTTAAAAACAACGTTGGTGAAATTTCTAAACAATATTCTTCTGCTTGTTTCAAAAAAGATTTAAATAGGCATTATTCACACTATCAGAATAGCATTTGCGATGAGACTATCAAAACAAGACAATACACATCAGGAAGATACTGAAACAATGACAGGAGGTTTGACTGTGTATTATTTTAAAAGCACTTTGGCTTGAAGCCAGATTTTTTATTTTTATTGTCCATGTACCTGATTGAAGTGTTAAACATGACTACTTATAAAAGATTCGTCTTTTATAAATAGAAATATTAAAATAACTTTGGATGATGAATGATTTAGAATTAATTCTTTTTTCAGTTGCCTGAGACTTGTAAGAAATTAACTTGTCTTGTCAAAGAACTGCAAAATAAATTGCAAATAAAAGATGAATGAATCAAGGAACTGAACGAAAAACATTGCCTTCTGCAGAGTAATTTCTGCAATGACAATTGAATTTTCATATATATATTGTATATAAGTTGATTTGACATTTTTTGTGTATATTTAGTTTTATTTTTTTTTTATCCAAGTGATATTTACTCTATTAGCATTTTTATTCTCTTGAGTTTTATTTTTTTAGAAAGAGAAATCTGAGTAATGTCTTTTTGTTTTTCTTTCGATTTCTCATTTTTATAAAGAAGCTCTATTCTTGTATCTGTTTTAGAATCCTCAAGCGTATAAAAATGCTTTTGAGCCTTTTTGTAGTAAACTTTTCTTTTGCTTAAAAAAATTGAAAATTAAGCAATGATGTAATCATTTATGTTATTAATTAATAAGTAACTTTGTAAATTGCCAGCTATGAGCATGTAGTCTATTGTTACAGAAAGCAGAACTCTGAAAATTGTTAGATGATTGTATGTAAAATTACTGAATTTCTTACTCAGGAATTTCAAATCTATTTTTTATTAGCTTAATATTTTAAACTGATGTTTTCACAGATTAGTAACATTAAAGTTAATGTGTTAAAGTTAATCAATTGCAAAATAAGTAATTAATGCTTATTTTATTATTTAAAGCTCATTATCTAAACATTCATAATATGAAAAAACACAAACTTTATATTTTAAAAACATTAAAGGCCTAGATAAATGCTTAAAACTAATCAAAATATCATTACTGCCAATAAATTGTTTTAAAATGTAATTTTAAATTAGTTTTGTAGCAAAATAATGATTCTGCATTTTTAACAAATATTAGAACACAAAGTTATGAAATAAATATATGAATAACTGTATAGTTACATAGCGATATTTTATAATTATGTATTTAATGTTACTGACTTTTTTTTTTGAAGAAAACATGCCTGTAGCAAAACAAAACATGTAGTGCACTCAAAAAGTAAATAATAAAAGTAACAATCTGCTCAGAATTTTTTTTTCTTAGCTAGTTTAATAATAGAAAAGTGTATGTTTATTTATTATAATAAAAATATTTAAACAATATAAAAATATTAATTCTGAAAGGTCAACAATCCACTTTTAAGAAAATCTGAATCCAACAAAAGAGAAAGTTTAAGAAATTAAACGCATAGTTAATGCTAAAGGGGAGGGGGGGGATATGTCACTTATTGTTTGTTTAACTAGTCATTTTCTGATAATAGTTTACTTATTTTTAAACACCTAACTAATTTGCTTATATTTTGACTTAGTTTTGTCTATGATATTTGTACAATCTATTTTCTCATATTTTAATGAATTTCTCTAAATTTAGTTGTAGCATTATTTTCCTTGATTACTATGTTTTATATATATATATATAAAAGATATTATGTATATGATATAATTATTTAATTTATTAATGTTTTATACATTTGTAACTGTTTTATACAGCATTTTTCTTCCTATGTGCATTTTCTTTTGGTTTTAATATATTACATTATATTATTCGTTACATGTTATTAATTATGAAAATTATGTTATTTCCTCCTTTTTTTTATGAGAATGAACCAAACTATTTATCTTTTCCCCTCTACTATATGTTCAAATTCTTTTCAAAACAAAACCATGATGTTTCATTTTTTGTTATCATTTTTTTAACTATCTGGTCTTATCTGCATTATTTTCATAACTTGGCATGTAAATTACATTCCTCTTTAAAATATTTGTTGTCTTGGCTTGATCCTAAATATCATGCTTTTTGATGTATTGTATATAAAAAAGTATCTATGCTTTTTATTTAATTAAACTGTAAAATTAAATTTCATGTTTAAAATGCATAATTGTTAAAAAAATTTCCCCTCGTGTTAACATCATTTGTAAACATTAAAATGTCAACATTTGCAAATTTAAAGAGAAATAAAATTCAATTTGAACAAAACAATTTTTTATTTTGTTGCAAAAATATTATTATATAAGTATGTATATATTTTGTTTGTGAAGAAGAACATTGTAAGTAAAACTATTAAAGTTTTGTTTTAAATATATATATATAATTTTTATCATAATAAGAGAGCTATCTAATGCCTAATACTGATTTTTAAAAATTTAAGGTTGAAAAATTATCTTAAAAGTTTCTGAGTTATATCCGTTAGCTTTGTAATATTTGACAAATTTTTTTTATTTAATTTTCAGAATTGATAAAAGGTTTTTTTTGCTCTTTTATTCAATTGCATTATTTTCTGATTTAATGTTTAATGTATAGGGATTTAAAACTTCCTACATGTCTTTTGCTTCTTTTGAGTGCATGCTGAAGTGCCTGTAAAAGTGGTTCAAATAAGGGTGCATTTTTCTGAATGAATTTTTTTTTAAATTTCTAAAAGGAAAATTGAGAAGTTTTGTATTGCTTTTACTTTTTTGTGTGGCTGACTGATTCTCTGATTCTTTTTCAGAATGTGTATAAAGTTTTAGAAAATATCATTTGTAATCTCATTTAAACTATATTTATACTTGCACTGTAATTTCATTCAAACTGTGATGAGTTAAGTACAAATCTTGTCTATAAGATTAAGGACTGAATTTAGAATTATATCAGTGTTAAAAAAATCTGCGCCTACTCCTGATTTATAATTATACATCTACTAAATGCACCTAATCATTGAACTCACCTTTTGAAAAAAAAATTTCTAGTTGTATTCCATTGAAATGTGCTACATTTTTTTATTAGTCCTAATAGAACTTGAAACTTCCACAAAATGTCATTGTGTAATTGTTATAAATATTTTATAAAATCTTTGCTTGTGAGATTGATTCATTAACATTATTGATAATTTGGAAATGGATAATGCACTGTTCTGATAAAAAAGAACATTTTTTTCTACCCTTGCAGAAAGTTGCATTTGAATGACTTTTTATTGGTTGATAGAAAGCTGCTATGTTAATTCTATGGGAGCACTATTTCCTAGAATTTCATACCTCACATTGAATAATTAAGAACCAGATTTTGATGAGATTAGAACTCTTCAATCTCTTTTTTTTTTATATTTGTGTCAATATATTTCTCATTCTTAATATTTATTTTTGTTATTTTAGCTCTTGTTTTAATATGCAAGTACATTCTGAGTTTTCTTCTAACCTTTTGCTTTCAATTGGAATAAGAGGCTAGCATGCTAAGTGCTATATCTAGATTATATCTACAATTAAATGTAGTTTTAGAAAGAAAAAAAAGCTTTTGATTGAAATTTTTATTGAAAAAAAATATTTAAATGAAATAAATAATTATTAGTTAATAAAGAAAGAACTATTTAATAAAAAAATAATTATTAAATTTATTTTTATTTATTTACTATTTTAACAATAAGGGTATTTTGTGTAAACTTTAACGCATCATTAGGGTTTTTTTTTTCATGTTATCCAAAGTTGAGTTTATGATTATGATTTAAAAAGCCTAGAATGGTAACTACACACAAAAATTATGTGTGCCAACTATCATAAATGTATAAAAGTTAAATACTTGGTGTCTTTTTTTAATATAAATTTAATATGTTTGTTTCCCTTTTTCTATATTAATAAAATGAAGGTTTATTTCCGATGGTTTTATATGAATAGTAACCACCTTAACTACTTATCTTTTGTGATAAGTATGTACATAAAGAATGTTTTTTTTTTTTTTTTTAAGAAACACCTGTGCTTATAATGCGGAAAATTTGTTCCTGAAATCACTGTTCTGCATCTGAGAACATTTTATCAGAAACAATGTAAATTATTATTTTATGTTTTTTAGAAATTAAAAAAAGCTATAATTTTAAGGGATTTTAAATTTTTTCTGGGTTTGAGAGAAACTATAAATCTAGAACAATTTACTGCTGAAGATAAATATTAAATACAATAAAGTTTGAAATGTGTGAATTAAAATTCATTTCTCTAAAAAAATATTCTGCTAAGGCAGAAAGTAAAGAAATAAAAATAAGGAATATTTTTGAGTTTCATTAG